AGATGATGCTCCAGGATAGAGAATGTCATGGTGATACCACGGGAGGTAATTCTTGTTGACAGGTGCTTATGATGCACGTTAAAGAATTGATTACTCAAGGAGGGATGTGAGATCTCTCAGAGGATGTGAGTTTCCCAGTATTTTCTTTGAGAGAGAGGTAGTTCTCTCAAGGGGATGTGAGTTTCCCTGCATACCGATAGCTTGACGGACTATGTGTCCCGAGAGTGGAAGGCGTATGGAGCATACCGATAGCCTGACGGACTATATGTCTAGAGGGTGGGAAGGGTATGGTGCACCAAAATCTCAAAGGGTGACGACCCTGAGAGTGGGAGTGGTGATAGATACGAGTTATGAGCAATTAATATCTGAAACGTGATTGTATGTATGAGACTGGATGGGAGCCTCAGAGATCGGGAGATGATCTCAGGTGGTGCTGGCCGGGTTAGGTCAGGAGTGTTTACCGTAGTGTGACGGTGTTACGCGATTCGAGGTCAAATCCGTGTTAGTGGGGGAGAATTGTAACGCCTGCGAACCAAATTGGGATTTTGGTGCATGCGTCGATCGACACACCTCCTGTGTAGATCGACGCAGGTTACAAATTGAACCGGGTTGGTTCGATTTTAGTCGTCGAGCCGCGTTTTGGTCGAGTTTTTTGGTTTCAAAAGTTCCAGAGAGTTTTCAGAGAATTTTTGAGAGGATTTGAGAGAAAAGAAAGAATCATAGTTGATTTTTTCGAGTTTTTGATCTTAAAAACTCGTTAGTGTGATTGTGAGGCTCTGTGGATCGTTTATGGTGATTGTTATTCGCGTTAGAGGAAAGGATTCAGATTTGGAAATTTGTGTACTTCGTGTTCTTCGCTGATTTCTTATCCTTTTTCCTTCCAGAACCAAGGTGAGTACGTGACCATGGCTTATCTGGGTAAAGAAAATGATATGATGCGATTGTTTGTGTTGTTTGGTTGGATTCCGTGTTGTTTTTGGTGAGTTTCGTGCAAGAGATCGATGCAATGCGATCGGGAATCGATACGTGAGATGATATGTTTGATTCCTAATTTGTGTCGATCGATCGACACACTGCAGTTGCGTCGATCGACGCATGATCTGCTGGCCTGTTTCTCGTTCGTTTGTTGTGTTGTGCATTGTTGGTTGCTCATCCTAGT